CAGCGCGAGCGCGAGGGGCCGCCGGGCACCGGAGCCGCGTCCCCCTGCGCCGCCTGGGGCCCGCTGCCCGGAGGAGCCGCCATGCCCCCCGGGCCGCCGTGTGCCTGGCCGCCCCGCGGTGCGCTCCGCCTCTGGCTGGGCTGCGTCTGCTTCGCGCTGGTGCAGGCGGGTAAGGGGGCCCGGGGCGGGAGGGCGGATGCCAGGGCAGCCTCCTGTCCTGCCCCTGAAACCCAGAAGACCTCCGTTCCCTCCCTGCTCCCTGGGGACCTCCTATCTCAGCTGCTCACTGCTCCTCTAACCTGACCCTGGGGGTCCCCTACCTTCTTGACCCCCAGACTTGTCCTTCAGCCTCCAAACCCCATGCATGACCTCAGCCCTGCGTTTTTAGGGTTTTGTGATCCCCAGTTTGTAATCCCATCCTTTCACCCCAGATCTCTCCCTTAGGTTCCATAGTCCCCTTTTCTGGTCCAGAGAGCAGCTGAGGACATCAGTTCCCCCACCTTGGGCCTCCCCTTCTGTCCCCAGAGACCTCTGAAGCTCCACAGGCCAACTTTGCACATCTGTTATGCAGAAGCATGTGTGAAGGGGATGGAGACTGGCTCCCAAGGGTGCAGGGTGGGTGGGGGTGGCCTCCGAGCCTGGTTCTGTGTCTGCCGCCACCTGTCTATGTCCTTCTGTCCCCTTCATCTCCATGTCTGGCCCAGTCTCTGGCTTTAAGTTTATCTTGAGCTGAGAGGTTCCTGCTTGGGCCCAGGTTTTTCCCCTTGCAGCATCTGTCCATTGGGAGATGGGCTTGTGTCACTCCACTCCCCTCTCCTGGAAAGTTCTTCCTGCTTGACCCTCTCCCCTTCCCAGTCACTCTCCCTCCTACTCTCTTCTTGACTGGCCCCTTAGGGCTGAGTGGAGAAGAGGCTCACATGGACCCCTCCCTAAGCTGAGTATTTCCTTCCTCCATTGCCCCTCACTCCCATCCCAGGGTTCACCTCTGCCTGGCCCTTCTTGACCTCTGGGTCTTTCTCCTTTTCTCAAGGTCACTCTCTTGACAGTACAGGATTATAAAAAGAGCAGTGGACTGGGAATCCTTTGACTGCTTTTGTCAAATTCAGCTTCTGTGACCCTAATCACTTATGTCCCCTCCATACCTGTCCCCTGAACTCTAACCACCCATCTGTTAGATCTGCCTGTGGTCCAAGCTCATCAGTTTTAGCCTTGGACCCCTCAGACTGGCCTACGGCAGGCAGGGGCTTGCGTGCCAGACACAAGGACCTTGAGGTTTCTCAAGCCACTCAGGAACTGAGAGCCGTATGGCCAAACGCAGTTGAGACCTTGGTCTCCCCTCTAGCCCCACAAAACATGGCCTTCCCAGGCTTCCCTTTCTCACTTACAAGATAATTAGTTGGGTGGGCTCACCACAGGGTACGCTCAAGCTCTGGTGCCTGCCTGCCCCACAGACAGCCCCTCAGCCCCAGTGAACGTCACCGTCAGGCACCTCAAGGCCAACTCTGCAGTGGTCAGCTGGGATGTCCTGGAAGATGAGGTTGTCATTGGATTCGCCATCTCTCAGCAGGTAACCTCTTAAAGGTCCTTGGGAGGGAAGGACAAGTTGAGATAGTGTCAGATTGGGTGAAGGATGGTGGTGTCACAAAAATAGTAAAAAGTAACTGAGCAAGAGAGATGGGCAGCAAACTGCACATATGGCTTGAAACTGGGGCCTCAGAAAGGCCTCAGTCAGTTGTGGAGGGAACAGGAGCTTTCAGCTGGGACAGCTGGACATACCAGTGTTTAGGACTTCACTCCAATTCTCACTAGATACGTGGCCTTGGGCAATTTGCCTAACCTCTCTGAACCTGTTTCCTTAGCTGTACAATGGAGATCATGATACCTGAGATGATAGGATGATTGTGCAGGTGAAGGGTTTGTCGCTCTTGGGAGGTGCTTGGGCACTGACACATGTCTGGCACTCACCTTCACAGAAGAAGGATGTGAGGATGCTGCGCTTCATCCAGGAAGTGAACACCACCACCCGCTCATGCGCCCTCTGGGACCTGGAGGAGGACACGGAGTACATCGTGCATGTGCAGGCCATCTCCATTCAGGGACAGAGCCCAGCCAGCGAGCCCGTGCTCTTCAAGACCCCTCGAGAGGCTGAGAAGATGGGCTCCAAGAACAAAGGCAGGCCCTGGGCATGTTGGAGGAGCAGAGTGGGGGCAGTTGAGGCCAGAGCAGTGGGGGGCATAACACTTCTCCCGCTGTCCTCCCCACAACTAAGTAAAGCAGCACCCCGAGCAAGGTTAGGACCCTAAATCAGGACACTTCTTCGTATGTAAATTCTCACCTTTGGATTAAATCCTATAGCAGCCACCCCAGGTAACCATGGCTATGTGCTCCCACCTCTTTGTGATAGGTATGTGGGCACTTATAGAGATAAGCGCTTATTGTTGTGGGCTTAGCCCTAGAAGAATGGCTGGGAGAGGAAAGGAGCCCCGGCCTAGTGTCTCTTTCTCCATAGATGAGGTGACCATGAAGGAGATGGGAAGGAACCAACAGCTGCGGACAGGTGAGGTGCTGATCATCGTGGTGGTCCTGTTCATGTGGGCAGGTGAGTCTGGCCTTCGAGCCCTTCGTCTATACTTGCTTTGGGGGAAGCTGGGGACCCTTTCCAGATCCTTCTGTCACAGTAACTAAGGGTAAGGGGCTCGAAGATATGTAAGAGAAGTAAAAAGTTTCTGAATCAACACAGCTCTGAGGGTCCAATCCGACCACTTCTATAGCTCATCCCTCACCAAAAACATAGCATTTTACTAGTTGCCTTATGGAATTATATAGGAACTCATCTTTCCCCTCCCTCAAAAGCAGTTCAGCCTCAAGGGGTGGACACATCCACAGACCCTGTACCTTCTGACCATGGCCACAACCTCTCCTTTCTAGTCAAGGTTTATAGACTTTCAGGCTTCAGGCCTGGGCAGCTCTGAGGAAGTCAGTGCCTGGCCTACCCATCCTTCTAGGCCAGCTCTGAGCCTGCCACCTTGGAAAACCCCTGTCCACTCATTGGAATGGCCCTCCTGCCTCTGTGCTTTTGCAGCACATGGTTTGCTCCTTTAGCCCTTCTTATGTAAGTTAGTCAGGCTCAGGGCTATCTTTTCCAACTAGTCTGTGAGCTCCCTAAGGATAATGTCCCAGTGTCATTCATCTCTGTACTCAATTCAACTGGCATTCAGTGATCAACCAGTCCATTCCAAGCAGTTGTGTGCTAGTTATGAACTCATTCGAGCCAGGGATTTAGCTCAGTGGTTCCGCCGCCTGCCTCGCAAGTGCATGAACTCATTCTAAAGGGAGACAGGCCAAAGCTTCACTATAATTTGGTGTGATGAGCACTATAATAGTACCAAATATGGGAGCAGAAGAGAGGGAATTAATTCTGGAACTAAGAGTAGAAATCAAGAAAAACAAAGTGGAGTTAACACAGGAATGAAGCTTTGAAGCATAAATAGGAGCTCACCAGGTGGCCAAAAGAGGAAGGGTATTCTGGACATAGTGTGTTCAAAAACAAATTAAGGTGAGTCTGGGCCAGTGCAGCTAGGACTTACAAAAGAAGGTGGAGTGTGGGGGAGTAAAGATTGGTGAGACTGTGGACTGGAGTCTTTGGAATTTGAATACTACGGCCAAAGCCTGATTAGCACAGTGGTTGAGAGGGCAGCCTGTTGAAGCATTTGGAAAAAAATGTTCCCCATGGAGGCGTATGAAAAACAGGTACTTAAAAAAACAGGAAAAACAAAGAGTTGTACAAAAGAGGAGGCTTGCTTCCGGCCCGTTGTTAGACTTGGCACAAACAGTATTTATATAATCATAACAATATAAACGGTGAATTAACCCAAAATTGTGGTGTAATTCTGTTAGACTAATGGAGGGAGAAGTAGGGGTGTTGTTGGGTTTTATCTGCCACTGTGGGAAGTCAACAGATTTCTAAAATAGATCAAAAAATAACACTATAAACATAGAGGGAAAATGAGGGAAAACATCTAGAATTGGAGTGGCTGTCTTAATAGTGACTCAAAAAGTATGATGTCCACATCCTACTAGCTTAATAAAACTAGACATTTACCAGGCCCTGCAGCCCCTGGAGTTCAGCTCCCAGCTGTACTGTGGTGTGACCTTGAGTGAAGTTAGTTCAGCTCTCCCTGCACCAATGTCCTCACTTGTAACCTGGGAAAAAGTGCACTTACTGAGCTGTGACAACTGAGAGTATGTCTGTGCACAGCACAAGGCCTGGGACATGCTCGACAATGCTATGATTGTTTCTATTTTCCCCTAAAGGAAAAGGGGAGCTGTCAGAGGTTTAAAGGAAAGGTGGGGAGGAGACATGATCCATGCATGCTGTAGGAAGATCAGCTCAGCAGCAGAGGATGGCTGGCGGGGGGGACAGGGAACACAGAAGCCAGAGGCTGGAGGGAAGCTGCTGAAGTCGTGGAGGGGAGACCATCTGGAGAGACCGTTAGTGAGCGCTGGTAGTAATGAAGCAGGCCAGGCAAGAACTCAGGCCCTGGCCTCTGACTGCTCCTACTTGTCCTCACAGGTGTCATTGCCCTCTTCTGCCGCCAGTATGACATTATTAAGGACAACGAACCCAATAACAACAAGGAGAAAACTAAGAGTGCATCTGAAACCAGCACTCCTGAGCACCAGGGCGGGGGGCTCCTCCGCAGCAAGGTGAGGGCTGCTTGGTGGCCCCATGCCTAGCCCTGGACTGCAAAAGGGGTCAGCTCAGGGCCTGGCATGGTTGTATCTGGGCAGAGCCAAATCTGGCTGCTGCCTGTGTGACAGAGGGGACACTGCAAATGGATTTTGGATTCTCTCCCTTTGCAGGGTGCCAAGGGCCAGTGGTGACTGAAAAATTTAAAAAAGGCAGAATGGGCAGGGCAGAATTCTTGGTTGGTGTGGGGTAGCAAGAGTAAGGGGTGCTGGGGCTCATTTCTGCTCCTGCTGTGTTGTGTTCCTTGAACAGGTGCTTCACCACTGTACTTTCATTTCCTCTTCTGTAAAACAGATATGAAATCCTTTCAGTGCTTGCTCTGAGCAGCTCAGAAGAAAGACAGTAGAGAATGAGAGGATCTCATGATTCTGATGACGATTCTCCAACAAATATCTGGCCCTCTCTGCATCTCCTCCTCCTTCCATCTTGTACCCTCTGGCTCACTGTCCTCTCTCGGCTTCTCTCTTTCTGGCGCCTTTTCCTGAAGCCTCTTATTAACCCCTATTTCCAGAAGCACCTCAACAATGTCAGTGGCTGAGGCTGTGCCCAGAGGTAGATGTGCAGGATATAAGCGAACTAGTGAGAGAGATGACTGCTGGGGGTGGAGTGGGTACCAGGGCTCTGAGTCCATGACTCAGTTTTGGCCACTCAGCTGAGTGAGGCCGAAGGATGGGTTGGAAAAGGCAGACAGACAAGACCTCCAGGCATGGCTGCTCTTCTTTCCACAATGAACAACAGCCTGGCTTTTAGGCTGCAGCCCTCTTGGCTCCTTTTCTCCTTCTGTGCTGTTTCCCACCTTCCAAGAAGCCTATTCAGTTAGCTTTGGCCACTTCTCTAATTTCTTTCCTCCCAGTTTCCAAACAAGCCCTCAATGAACATCATTGAAGCATGACTGCCTGTCTGAAGAGAGAAAGATTTCATTTTTCCTTGCTGGTCCCCAGGTCCTGGGCACAGGGAGAGGGCCGACTGCATCAAGGGAGGAGGCACAACAAGCTGCAGTTCTCTCTCTTCCCTCTTAGTCTGATGAAAGAGCCTGAACTACAAACCCAAATTCTGCAAAAAATAATAAAAAGCCACAAAACTAAAAGGCCTGGCCCCATCCTAGAAAAGGCAAAGCTGCATGAAACAGCCTTCTGCCTCCTCACCTCTCCTGGACTGGCCTCCTCTTTGAGAAAATGCACAACGCTCTGGGAAATGACAGGCTCTAAGATTGACTCATGCTGTGTCTTTTAGACCAGGGAGCATCGGAGGAGGATGCTGTGGAGCTGCCTGCTGTGCAGGGACATGGCTGTCATCAAGCCTTTTCTGGATGTAGCCATCAGAGACTTGTTTGGGGTGTGATACACACCCTTGTGAGTGTGTAAGATGTTGCCTGTTTTGTCTCTTGAAAAACAAAACTGGAGGGCTCCGTTCCAGAGGGCAGAGGATTCTTCCAGGACTTGAGCTGGTTGCCTACATCCTATCTTCTTTGACATTTACTTTGATGGTGAGATCATCACTCTGGGGTTTTAAGAAGACCTGGAAGGTATTGGCCCTGTTTTCTAAGGAAGCATCTCTTGGAGTTTGAGCAGAGCCAGCTGGAGCAACTGAAAAGGCACATCCACATTTTATATCCTGGGGACTGCTGACCCACTCACTGTGGAGTGGAAGTTGCTGGAAAGCAGGCCTGAGCCATTCACCACAGACAGGCAGAGCAGCCTGGCTGTCACAACTAACTAGGGTCTTCATATCTTACTATCTCATCAGGATTCTGTGAAAGTTACCCAGGGTCCTCATGTCCTTCCCTAGAGCCTGAGTGGTATGGTTTCTCTCTCCACTTCCCCTTTCTGGTTAAAAACAAACAAACAATGGTGCTTGATGAGGGAAGGCAGACTCTTCCCTGTGACTGATGTGTTACAGCTGCCAAATGCCTGCATGGGAAGAGGTGGACTCTGCATCTTCCATTGGTGGCCAAGAAGGGGGCAGTGGAGGATGTGCCTAGCACAAGCCTGATACACAGTAGGCACTTGGTAAATATTTGCTGTGCTGAATGTTAAGAGCACTGGCACCCAAGACAGAGAGCTGAAAGCCATCACCCAATGACTGCCCCTTCCTTCCATTCTTAAGAGCTCTCTGCTTCAGCTAAGTGTGGCAGGCAGCACAGGGGAGGAGAGACGGTACAAGGCAGATGTCAGCAATACAAAGGGCTTCCTCATGGGGAGGGCATGAGGCTCCACTCATTGTCTTGTGACTTCTATCCCTGCTGAATGGGGCTGTGGGGTCAAGGCTCCGTAAGGGAGAGGTCCTTACCTCTGATCCAGTTAGAGCAATAACCACTTTTTAACTGTAAAATAAAAAGACAAATGAAAAGGCACATCCTTGTCTTCTGGTAAATGCCCAAACGTTGCCCTCTTTTTCTGGCACTTGGCAGCAAGTCAGGATGTGTGGAGGAGGGAATCAGTTCTCTCTTCCATTTTGGCCTGCAGTTTCTTAGGGACATGCCTGCCAGCCAAGCTGGAGTTGGAAGGGAATTCTCGAACAGATGGGGGTGCACGTGTAGGAGAAGAAAATAGCTGTTCTATCATCCTCTTTCTGAGGCTCTCCCAAACCCAGCTTGGGCTGTCTCACTGCATAGGTATGCAGGCTGGTGCTGTTTTTAAAAACAAAGGGTTTTCCCCTCTGGATGGGGGTGCGTGCTTTCCCTGGCCAAAGGAATGCAATCCCCCCTACCTCCCACCCCGGTAAGGAAGGAGTTAAAAGGATCTACAAGGGGTGTTCAGTATTCATAGCCACAGTTCTGGGCTGTTAAAGAACATCACTATGATCTTAACAGCAAGCTAAAAGGCAGAGAGTAATGATGCCATTAGCCAGTGAGCAAACCAGTAAATGGGGCACCTCAAACATTCTTATCCAGAGCCAGGAAGGCCTTGGATAGAAAATGTCAGATGAGCATGGATCAGAGTAGGCTATTCAAAAGGTTCTGGAAGTGAAGGGAAAACAGTAAACTGAGGAGCACACAGAACTCTAAGCCAAACCTCCATGAGGATACTTACTAGGCCTAAATGAGGGAGAAGCCCTCAAGCCAGGATTAGGCAGAGGTAGTTGTCAGTGAGGCTTGGGGAACTGTGCTAATGGGGGTTTCCTGTCTTTAGTTTCATCTGTGTCTGTGATAGAGGAGCAAATGATAGGCCTAACTTAAACTCCATTCCTTCATTGTCTCTCCCAAAACAACTATTTGCAAATTCAAACCCTGCAGCTATGACTTATTTTTGTGGTGCTTTCACCAGGCTCACAAGAATCCGCAGAGATTCCTCACAACTCGGGAAGCCACAGGCAGTCTGAGACCAGGCAAACAAGCCTGTGGGAGGAATGCTGGACTGAGAGGAAGGAGACTGCAGGCATCTACTTAACACCTGTCACTTCCCTGAGGCTGGCCTTCCTTGCCTTTCTACCAAAAAAGGGTTAAAAGAGAGGATAACCAGTCACACGCTTCCTGGAGCATGGACAAGGAGTGTCCTAGAAGTGAGATGGGGTTTGAGGGGAGTACAAACTGGTGGATATTTCTGTGGGGCAGGATTCCTTTTCTCCTACTCCTGTTTCCTCAGCCCCAAGCTTCTCAGTATAGGCCTCTTCTAGAATCCATTTTTAAAGATCTCTAATTCACCCTTTTACAGCAATATGTAATATCTCACCAATCCATTATATTTTAGACTTCTACTGTCTCTCTTCAAACCTATTTGACAATTTTTGGATCTTGGTTTTTAAGAAGTAGCCTCCAAGAACAAATTGCTTCTATAAATGGGAGATTCTGCCTCCCTCAATTCCAGCTGCAACAGCTTAAAAAAAAAAAATCCATAAATGTGGTTTGGAGCTAAATTGAAGATCTTTGTATACAAATGGTCTCTTGATAAACTTCAGGGCTATCATTTAGACTTAATGTGATCCAAAAGATCACATTCTAAACCAGGGACAAGGTGGCACACACCTATAAGGTTAGCCTGAGTAACTCTGTGAGATAGTGATTCAAAAAAATATAATGGGGGCCAGGAATTTAGCCAAGTGGTGCCACTGCCTGCCTTGGAAGTGGCAAGGTGGAGTTGGATCCCCGGTACCACAAATAAACTAAATAAAATGGACTGGGGCTATAACTCAGTGCTCCCTGGGTTCTATCCCTAATACCACCCCCCACCCCCAATCATATTCCATCTTCTTCTCAATGGGGGCTGGGAAGGGCCAGATTTTCTGTCTATGGCATGTACCAGTTACAGGGGGAGAACAGGAAGGGAGGAATGATAAGGCAAGTTTATTCATTAAGGCATTCCAATAGTGACCAGCTGACACTTCCTGTGACAAATGAGAATTTTTTCCTGACAGGTGTTCTGGCAGACAAACCAAGCATACCCTGGACTCGTCTTAGGGATAAATCTGTCTTCTCTAAGAAAAGCAGAACAACACAAAGAGAAGCAGGGAACTCTGCTTTCTAGTTTTAGATGGTTTTGTTTTCCTATAAAAGCTCAAAATGGCCTTGTTAGAGAATGAGTCTCATTCCTTTTAAAGATGGTCCATTTTCCCCTTTCATCTCATTTTCCCATAAAATGAACTGAGGGTAGGGGACACTATTATTTCAGAGAATTCAGCCTGATCTCTGAAAACTTTTTTTTTTTGGTACCAGGGATTGAACTCAGGTCCTCGCGCTTGCACAGCAGGCGGCGAAGCCACTGAGCTAAATCCCTAGCCCTCTGAAAACTTTTGATGCCTACAGTAGTAACACATTGCTAAAAAGGAAATAATTACCAGACAGATGATCATCAACACCTGGCAGGAACAAAATGGGTACGCGTAAGAGTGTCTCAGGGACAAGAGTATTCAATAGCTGAGTACTCAGCACATTTACACTGAGCCTTATGCCTGGAATTGAAAAATAATTTTTGTCTAGAATATATACACTTAGGCAACTCTTACAGAACAGCAGGCCAGTGAGCTTGTTCAAATATGTTGCTACCTATTTTCTCAGCATGAAATGAAATTTTTAAAGGCACTGTCTTAAATATAGGTAACAAGCTATTATTGCCTGTCCTTTTATCTTTCCTCCTGGGGGAAGGTCTTCTTAGGTTCATAAAAGGAATCTAAGGAACACTCTCCCACATCTACCCACACTTAGCCAACTTTCACCCTAGGTTCTTGAAGCAGCAGTTTCTGAAGAACAGCCATCAATTTTGTACAGTACTATCAATTCTGGGTTCTCGCATCCTCAAAGGGAGAATGCTCGGGAATAGTATGGCCTCTTCTTAATCAGTGCTAGCTCTGGGTAGCAGAGACACAGTGGCCAGCCACACAGACATGGGAAGGAATGCAAGACAATGCCTGCCTGAGAAGGGCTGAGCCATCTTTCCCCTCTGCAAAAACAGCAGCAGTGTTATTTCAGGCTCTGCCTATGTCAGGCTCCTGACATGCACCATATGTAGCTGCAAATCCCAATCAATTTCAGAATTTTTTAACTGCTGGAATGCCTTCCTCAACACTGTAATTTACCCTCAAAAGAATAAGGAGCAAGCACCCTCGCTTTCCCAGAACCACATTCTACTAAATGCCACCCCCCTCCCATATCCCACCAACCTACCTATGCAAAAGAGGAAGACAAATAACCCTCCTCCAAAGCCCGAAACAGACAGCTACAGCACATATGCCACTGACAAGAACTTTTATTTCTTTTTAATGACATTAAACACAACTGCTACAAGGGAAAAAACACAGTAGAGGAGGCACCAAACTTCAGTTTCATAATTGATCCTGACAACAATGCAAGTAAATCAGGGTCTGTATTAGATGTAAAAAATATAGGTTATATCAGGTGCCTTTATTACAAATAAACTATTTACACAGCACATTTTACTGTTTTGTCAAGACCCCATGGTAAGAATGTCATTATGAATGAAGAAAGCTAGGTAGGAAGTTAAATGCACAAAACCCTTACTCAAATTTAAAAATACAGTTAAATTCCACCTGAAATACTAGACATAGAGGCCCACACCAAATGTGAGATAGGCAGCTTTGAAAAGAGGTTAAAACTCCAGATTCTACCCACTACCATCTTTAAGGCAAACATGCCAGATAATGAGTTTTCTTTGGCTTTGTTTTTTCTTCTTGAAGAATACCATGTTAACCACTAGAGAACAGTTTTCTCCTTCCCCAGTTCAACAGATTTAATTAAGCTGCTAAAGCTTTAGAAAAACAGAATTATTTGAGCTAACAGGAAATGTGATTGTCACATTGTCTAGTTAACCTGTCACTCATTTGATTTGGCAAAGGCAATCCTCCCATTACACATTCCGTTTAAACCTTCCTGTACCAGGAAGGCAGGAACACAGGTCATAGATCTTTGCTGAAGCAAAATGTCCCTTCACTCCTTGGATTATCTGTGAGGAATTAGACAGCTGTAATGCTAGCTATTCCGGCTACATTTAATTTTAACTATGTTTTGGTCCCAAAGGTGGGTGTCTGGCATGTCTCACTCCATCAGGCTAATTTAGGGCAGCCTGGAGAAGTGACCAATGAAGTAAATGCCAGTTATGCCAACTGAAAGAACAGATTTTGACTACTGCCTTCAAATGGAATTTTTCCATTACATTCTAGTTCCAGAATCTAAACAAAATGTCCAAGGAAAAGAGAATCCTTGGATAAAAACATTAAACACTTAGAGGCATGTATCCAAATTTATTGGAGGCTTGAATGACCAAACTTTTCTCAAGTAGGGTATAATGCTTAAAACGGGTTACTCACATACAAAGATGGGGCTGATGAAATGACAAAACCAGGTAGAGGCTACAACAACTATGAACAACTTTCACAGAGGGTAAATAGCAGCAGCATGAATGCCAGACTGCAAAACTTCCAAAAATGATGTCTAAAACTGTATGTAAAGAGAGAGTACAACCTCTTAAGACATCCATTAAGACAGGTGCACAGTCTGTCAGCTTTGGTTAGAATATCAAACCTCAAGATCAGGTAATGCTTTTGTGGACAGACTCAATCACAATATTATCAGACCCACTCAAGCAGTTATGTGAAATTAGGCATCAGGGGTCTGATGACCCCCTGATGAGGAGATAGTAACATCAAGAGTCTAAAGACACCTGTTAACCAATAATGGAGATAAAGAGTGCCTCTCCAAGGTCTCTCCTAGAGGTTAGAAGCTCCTTGACTAACACTCTCACTTAAAAGTTAAGCTTCATCAGATGAAACTGAAGACCAATATCTCAATGGCACCGGGCTATCATCAAGTCAAGAGTCTGGGTGGGCAGCTCTTCAATAAGAGAGCAAAGAGCCCATTCTAAAGAGGCATATCCATGTCTAACAACATACAGGAATACTGCCTATAGATTCCCAGGGAACAGAGTGGTCACTGTGGGTGTGGATGGGGGGGGAACCAAAAAAAAAAAAAAAAAAGGAAAATTCTTGAAGAAGGGCAGAAACAACTGTCACAAGACCACAACGTATTCAACAGGGGTTGGTCAGCAGTATTCTGTCAGAATTAAGATGTGTAAGATCTGTAAACACTATGTGCAAAATAAGTTTAACAGAGAATGAAGAAAAGCCAAAGATGATAATAAAAATAGGGCCGGAGATGTCACTCGGTGGTATAATGCTTGCCTAGCATGCATGAAGCCCTGCAATCAATCCCCAATACCTGGGGAGAGAGCAGGAAAAAAAAAATATCATAGTAATTTATAAGTATAGAAAGTAGAGGGTTTACATTTTTTTTTTGGTACCAGTGATCAAACTCCAGACCTTGCACTTTCAAGGCAGGTGGTGGCACCACTGAAATAAATCCCTGGCCCTACATTTTAAATTTATCCTTTCAACACGATTTTTCTCCTACTCCATCTTACTTTAAATACCTGGACTACCAACTTTAAAATACTGACAGGTAGTCAGAGATTCAAATTTAAAAGAGGGTTTGGTAAAAGTGACTTATATCCACTCACAAGTCATCATGATAATTAACATTTGCTTATAGCTTGGTAAAGAATCTCTTGTTTTTGGTTTGTTTTTTTTTTTTGGTACCGGGGATTGAACTTGGGATCTTGTGCTTGCGAGGCAAGCAGTAGAACCACTGAGCTAAATCCCCGGCCCAAGAATCTCTTGCTTACAGAAGATTAAAAGATGATTTGTTTCTTTTGGGCACCAGAAGTAGACTTCACTTCTGCATAAATGTGAGTATTCTGTTTGAGCCTAGGTGTTCTGGCTTCATGCTGGCTTTCAAGGGGGTAGTCACCTTCAATTAAAAAAAACAAACAAACTGTATCAGCTTAACACTGCTTAAACACACATAAACAGACACGTAAAATCAGGAGGGTCTTCATACTAAAAAAATTTCAATCCAATAATAGACATTTCTAAAAGGAGTCAAGTTCTTTAAATAAAATCTTGTGAAAAATAAAATTCAAAATATACAAAGAACAAAACAAAGTAAGAAAATGAGATACTATTCTGAACAGGATGCTAGAGAGAGCTCTTCACTGCTGATGAGAGGAGACAAATGGACTATATGAGAAATCTGGAAGACGCTGAAACCGATGGTGGCTGCGCTTGTTCCTCTCAACCCACTGAGTCAGGCTGTATCTTTGCAGAGGTTTCTGTCGAAACCGGGCGTAATTTCTATCAAATGAGAAAATAAAAATAGAAAAGATATTTCAGTTGGAATGTATATGACACACTTTTTCGTATATAAAAAATTCAGCACAACAATTTTTTTCCCCCGGTACTGGGGATTGAACTCAGGACCTTGCGCTTACGAGGCAGGCGTGACACCACTGAGCTAAATCCTCAGCACAACAATTTTAAGAATATAAAGCTAGGTGAGCATGGTGGCTCACACCTGTAATCCCAGCACTTGAGAGGCTGACACAGGAGGATTTCGGTGAGCTGGAAGCTAAAGGCCAGCCTGAACTACACAGCAAAAAAAAACCAAATCAATCAATCATATATACATAACTTTTTTTGTACTAGAGATTGAATCTAGGGCCTTCACACTGACCTACATCCCAGCCCTTATTTTGTTTTTTATTTTGAGACAGGGTTTTGTTATGTCACTAAGTTGCCCAGGTTGGTCTCCAACTTATGATCTTCCTGCCTCAGCCTCTCAGAGTACTGGATATTTTATGTTTTGACTAATAATTTTAAAAATTTCATATTGTTTTAACTATATAAAAAACACATTATAAGTATTATTTCCTTCCAATTCTCAAAGCAACCAGTATCCATACAGGTATTATGGTGATATGTGCCATATATACAATGTTCTTTTTTTGTTTTGTTTTGTTTTGGTTTGGTTTTTTTGGTACCGGGGATCGAACTTGGGTCCTTGTGCTTGCGAGGCAGGCGGCGGAACCACTGGTCCTTGCGCTTGTGCAGCAGACAGCGAAACCACTGAGCTAAATCCCCGGCGCTCACCATTGTTTTTATCAGACCTATACCTCCAATATGATCTCAATGTCACACAGCCCAAGGTTGCTCAGGACGTAGCATTAAAATTAGAATAAAACTTCCAAGAAGGCAAGTCATCATGTGAATATCACATCACAAGTTTTGAGACTGAATAGCTAACAGCACAGACTTAAAAGTAAGGTTTCTTTTTTTTTCCCCCAGTACTGGGAATCAAACTCAGAACCCTGCACTTGCCAGGCAGGCATGGAGCCACTGAGCTACATCCCTGGCCCTAATGTAAAGCTTCTTCAAAGTCTCCTTAAGTCATGCGCTGGGCCAGGGTTCTAAGCAAGACCTGAGATCATTTGATTCCATTCTCAATTATAAAACTGTTTCTAATAACTACCTAGGAAGCTTCTTAAAGACATTGATTCTTAGCTCCTCCCTTCCCCCAGACTTAACAACTCAGCATCCCTGGATTCAGGGCCCGAATATCTGCATTTTTAGATATCTTATTTGGTTATGAGAAATAGATGAAAATAATTGTAACAGTTACCTGACATTTATCCATTACTATATACAAGTATTTGCTGAATACTTTTTTTGGAGGGTGAGGGGGTTTTTGGGGATTGAACCTAGGGCCTTTGGACCAAGCTATATCCCCAGCCCTTTTTTATTTTGAGGCAAGATCTTGCTAAGTCACTTGGGCTGCGACTGAACTTTCTGCCTTGGCCTCTCAGAGTTGCTCCATTCTTTAAACCTCATCTCACTTAATGCTAGTGAAATCCTACTATGAAAGTACTCTCATTAACTCTGAATAGAAAACTAAGCCTCAGGTTAAATTGTCCAAGGTCACAGTAGAGTAAGGAGAAAGGTCTGGATGTGAATCTACATCCAACTTCAAAATTTACTTAAAAGTTATTATACTTGGGCTGGGGATTTAGCTCAGTGGTTTCACCCCCTGCTGCGCAAGCGCAAGGACATGAGTTCAATCCCCGGTACCAAAAAAACAAAACAAAGCAAAGTAATTATACTACACTGCTTCCACCACAACCACCACCACAACCCACCACCATCACCACCCAATGCCAGGGATTAAACCCAGGGCCTTATGCATGTCAGATAAGGACTCCGGCACTGAGCTAGCCCTACACTACTTTCCTGAGAATGGCTATCATTTTGAAAACTACAGAGGAAACATGAACGTTAAGGACCCTGAAAGGAGAATATGTTTGATGTGCTTAAAAACAGCAAGGAAACCAGTGTAATTGGAACAGAATGAATAACAAGAAGAATAATAGTAGAAGCCTATGCCAAAGCACACAGCCCTCTATAGGTGACTGTGAGGATGGGAAGAAAGAAGATGGAAAGCCCCTGGAAGACATCAAGCAAAGAAGAGAATCTAATATGCTTTAAAAAAATAGTTCCAGGGGCCGGGGATTTAGCTCAGTGGTTCCGCTGCCTGCTCTGCAAGTGCAAGGACCCGAGTTCGATCCCTGGTACCAAAAAAAAAAAAAATAGATTAAAAAAATAGTTCTGGCTGCTGAGCCGAGAACAACAGACAGGCAAGAGCAGAAGCAGGGAGAACATTTGCAATAATCCAGGTGAAATGATGAGAAATGGTCAGGTTCTAGATATATATGTACAGCCTATAGGATTTGCTGATAGACTAAATATGGGATGAGAGAGAAGAGTCAAAGATGACTCCAAGGTTTTCAAGTAAATGAATCAATCTGTAAAGCTATACTGCATCAAGAATTCATATTTGAACCAGAAAGATCCTTTGACATTAGTCTAACATCTTTTTATTTTTATTTATTTATTTATTTTTTAAAAGGATTGCTGTTTGTTTGTTTTTTGGTACCGGGGATCAAACTCGGGTCCTTGCGCTTGTGAAGCAGGTGGTGAAACTACTGAGCTAAATCCCCGGCCCTCTAACATCTTTTTATTGACTAGAGAAGTGGGATGACTTGATCAAAATCATACAGCCAGTTAAATATTCCCAAAGTAATATTAGAACCCAGGCTTCCTGAATTTCAGTCTACTTCTTATTCCATTCTACTGCAATGTTTCTTTTTCCACCTGTAGAATTAAATAATTACAACCCCAACTCTCCCACATTCCCCCTGTAACCAAATTCTACCCTTCTCCTAATCACCCACTCACCGCATGGTGAGATCTGAAGGATGCTGCCGATCCATCAAGGTATACAGCTCCCCCGAAGGACCTGTGATACAGAGGAATCAGTGGTTAGAAAGAACCTAAGAGAACTCTCCTAGTCTGTGTCAAAGTATGTGCTTTCAGGGAAAGAAAAACAGGCATTGGTCCCACTAATATTTACTTATGATTATCTTAGGCAGTCAGCACAAAAACTATAAGCCAGAGTGGGGCGGGGAAGGGTGAAGGCATGCCTCGAAAGCGGAAGAAAAACTAAAACAAAAACAAAACAGAGTGGGGCGCCTGCTTTTAGATGATGATGTTGAAGCAATAATGGCAGCCATTACTCATTCATTCAACATTTATTAGCTCCTACAATGTGAGAGGAAATTTACTGGTCCATAGGAATATGGTAGTAAACAAGACACTGTACCTGCCCTCATAGGAGACATGTGATTCCAAAACAGTGTGATAAATAGTCGTAGGAGAAATACAGGCTGCTGTTCAGACTGGGGTTAAGGGATTAGTAAAAGCCCCTCCAAGGGAAGTAAACTATAAGAAGGGATCTAAAGGATATATAGAAGTTAGTAATGTAGGGCTGGGGATTTAGCTCAGTGGTGCTGCCACCTGCCTTGCAAGCGCAAGGTCCTGAGTTTGATCCCCGGTACCAAAAAAAAAAAAAAAAAAAGTAATGTAAAGGAGGAGTATGAGGTTGGGCAAAGGTCAAAGGCAAAGGCCCAGAGGCAAAAGATTCAAAATACATTCAAGAAACAAGAAGAGTTTAGAACAGAGATACCTGCTCTTTGCTAACAAGAAAAATTGCTAGAGGTTATTTATCAAACACCAGGGAGCCTGGCAGCAATATACTAGGCCAATGATGGTGAACCTTTTAGAATCTAAGTGCCCAAACTGCAACCCAAAACCCACTTACTGATCACAAGGTGCCCGCACTGCAATTAAACCTAAATACTGAAGTTTTAGTTAACAAAAACAACTTATTCAATGCTAAACTGCGACCCCCTGGGGGGGGCTCACACAACTTGGCTCCCATGCCAAAAGAGGGCTCTGCATGCCCACTGTAGCACATGTGCCATAGGTTTGCCACTACTGTACCAGGCACTTCAAATGTTATCTTCTGGGAGGGGGGAGGGTGTGAGACCTGGTCTCATTCTGTAATCCAGGCAGGCTTTGAACTCATTATATAGCCCAGGCTGGTCTCAAACTCACAGTGATCCTCCTGGCTCAGCCTCCTGAGTGTTGGGATTACAGATGTGCACCACCATGCCCAGCTTATTTTACTTAATTCTAAAAATAGCTTACATGCAGATAGATTTTTTTTTTTATGGCTTTTTTTGGTACGGGGAATCAAACTCAGGACCTTGCGCCTGCAAGGCAGGCGGCAGAGCCACTGAGGTAAATTCTTGGCCCTTTGTTTATGTGTTTTGCAGACAGATGTTTTTGACATTTCAGGAATAGGAAACTAATTTAGGGAAATGAACTTGGCTAAAATGCTTAATAACCCATAAATCAACTAGCTCTTGTGGTTTACCATTCTCTTGCCACTATGTGATAATGCTAATTTGGCAAAGGGGTGAGACTTAGGCTAAAACCCCACAGAAGCAGAATAAACACTACAGACATACCTGTTTAACGACTAAGTTATATTCCTGACACTAGGTCGTTAAATGAATTAACTGCTAAATGAGGAATTGTACATAGTGTGTATATTACAATATTTAGAACAAAGAAATGGTCAAAGGAAACTCCAACGTGATGACTTTGCTTTTATTCGCGTAACTCTTACATGCAGCACTGTAATGTATTATAGAACATAGACTACAGTACAAGCAGCAAAAATTACAGTAGTGTATAAACAAGCTCTACTGTACCAAAAAAAGACACTGAAGCTTTATAAACAAGATATACAGAACACTACCAAAAAAAAAGATGGATCGTAAGTCTGAGAGTGGCAGGTCGTAAATTCGAACAGCACATCTTGTTATAAGTCTGAACAGTCATTAAACAGGTAGGTTGTTAAACGAGGAATATCTGTAGTTGGGAAATCATTTCTCTAGACCAGTGGTTCTCAAATTTTAATATGAACCACAATCAGCTGGATGTATTATGAAACAGGTTGCTGGTTCTTCCTACTGTGGAGTTTCTGATTATGTAGGTCTGGGGTGGAGGCTGAGAATTTACAAGTCTAACATACTCTCAGGTGACACTGATGCTGCTAGTCTGAGAACCACACTTTGAAAACTGCCCTAAGACAGTGAAAACCTTTCTTTTACCTAGTTTACATTTTTCTCATTGCCTTCTCTACTACACTTTTGGGAACCAAGAGCAGTCTACCAAGGATATAGACCATTTTCTTAGGTTCTAGTAAAGATAACTTTTAGGACCAATTTATTTGAAACCTTAAAAAGCAGAGCTTTGTAGAAAAAATGTATTATTTTGAAGTTAGCCAGATGAGTTACAATTACAGTCCAGCCACTAACTGGCCAGCAAATGAGTTTCAGTTTACTCATATATGAAAAGTAGACAATCATACTATTTAGCTTGAAGTTGAGTATTAGGAATATTATACATAAAACACAACACATTCGCTGGCACACAGAAGAATGCAGTGAGTGGCAGCTATTACTATGGTGTCATAGCCTCAGGCCTATGTGAGCCTGCAAATCCTTTGATAATCAACTATTTGTAAGAAAAAAATGTTTATTAAATGGAATCTATCAACATATAAACTATATGTTTTATAACATCAGAAATTGTTTTTTAGCTGGACATGGTGGTACACGCCCGCCCATAATCCCAGCACTTGAGAAGCTGAGACAAGAGGATCATTATAAATCTGAGGTCAGGGCCAGGGATTTAGCTCAGTGGTTTTGACGCCTGCTGAGCAAGGGCAAGGACCTGAGTTCAATCCCTGGTACCAAAAAAATAAAAAGAAATCTAAGTTTGAGGTCAGCCTGGACTACATAGTGAGTTCAAGGCCAGTCTAGACTATATAGCAAGACCCTGGCTCAAAAAAAAAAAAAGAAAAGAAAAGAAAAGAAATTGTTTTCTGATCACGAAAGAATAGTTTTTAGGAAGAATTAATAGATTTATTCCATTTATTCCACCAGGCTGAGCATGATAGCACACGCCTCTAATCCCACACTAAGGAGGCTAAGGCAGGAGGATCACAAGTTTGAGCCCAACCTGAACAACTTAGCAAGACCCTAATCTCAAAATAACATTTTAAAAAAAATTTTTTTGAGATAGGGTCTCACTATGTGGCTCAGGTTGGCTTTGTATATGTGCTCCCAAAGTAAGCACTCAGGCTGGCTTTGAACTTACTATGTAACCCAGGCTGGCCTCAAACTCACAGTGGTCCTCTTGCCTCAGCCTCCCAAGTGCTGGGATTACAGGTGACCACTACTGCACTCAGTTCAAAATAAAATATTTTATTTGTTTTATGTTTTTTGGGGGGCCACTGGGGATCAAACTCGGGACCTTGTGTTTGTGAAGCAAGTGGCGGAACCACTGAGCTAAATCCCCGGCCCCAAAATAAAATATTTTAATAAAAGGGCTGGGGATGTGTCTCAGTCTGAAGGCTCTGGTTCATCCCCAGTACTGGGAAAAAAAAGTTTCTGTGTGGCAATGTGAGGAATGGTGGCACACTGTTGTAATATCCCAGCTACTCAAGAGGCTAAGACAAGAGGACTTAGCAAAATCTAGTCTCAAAATAAAATTTTAAAAGTGGCTAGGGATATAGCTTGGTGGTAGAATACCTGACTAGGATTATTTGTAGACCATGGCTTTCAGCTCATCTTTTACCACATGGATTCTACAAAACTGCCTGGGCCAATGGAGACTAACATATGTGTACTATTCACCTCCTACAAAAAAAATCTATTTCTTTTAAACAAAGAGAAGAATAGCTAGTTTGGCTAAAGAAGCCTAACATTTTAATATTCAACTGCTACAAGTGGAAATCAAGCAACAGGAATTTACATAATACCATATGATTAAGCACTTTCCTATGTGCTTTATATATATCAACTTATTTAGACTTTACAACAATCTTATAAGGTGTTTTCCCCATTTTACAGACAAAACTAAAAAAAATACTAATGAACTGATGTAGAGAAAAATTAAATAATTTACCTTAGGTCACATAGCTAGTGACAGAGGCAGAATTCCAATATAATACCACCATAGGGTTGGGTTTCCTTAAAATATTTTCTGAGACGACATTTCACAGTTGAGATTAGGAAGCAAGAATTATATTATAATAACGTCTCTTGTACACTCAGTTGATACCTAGCAGTGTTGAGTGAACAGTTGCACAATGAGAAATGTTTTCATTAGCACTAAGAACTTGCTGTCAGACTAGGATAACCCTTATTTTTAATAAGACTTAATAATCTAGATAATGGGACCTAACATTCATCAAGTACTACTGGGCCAGGCTGCTGGCTAAATATTTTACATGTATCCTTATCACTGAATTCTATCAATCATAGGAGGCAAATACCCTAATCTCCATTTTATTCATGAGTAAACTGAAGCTGGTAAAGATACAAATCTATCATCTAGTAAATGGGACAGCTAGGATTCAAATCCAGGTAGAGCTAATAATCCAAAAACCTTAATTTAGTGCATAGCTTCAACCTCTTCTTACTCCTAATTTAGAGATGCTAACAAGAATGGGAACATTTAAATTTTCTCTTCTCTTCACAGTTTCTAACAGATGGACTTTCTTGACCCAACAATCAGTACCATGGGCTTATTTTAGGTTATGGCTAAAAGGTGGCGGAAGACTGTCCTTTGTTTTGTGACTAAGAGGGCCGGAGATTTAGCTCAGGGGTTCCACCGCCTACCTCGCAAGTGCAAGAACCAGAGTTCGATCCCCAGTAACCCCTCCCAAAAATAAATAAATAATGAAATTCATCCAAGAATGAAATTAGGAGGCAAAAAAACTTCAACATTTCAGGATTGATACCAGTAATTTGTCTATACCTTATCCTGTACTGACTGCTTTTGGGGTAAATTCAGTTTAGTAGTGGGCCCGGTGTGGTGACA